GTCGGAAGGCTCCATGGCCGGCATCCTCGGCTACACGGAGGACGAAGTCGTGTCGAGCGACTTTATCTCGGACAAGCGCTCGTCCATCTTTGACGCCAACGCGTGCATCGCGCTCAACGACAACTTTGTCAAGCTCGTGTCGTGGTACGACAACGAGTGGGGCTACTCGAACCGCCTCGTCGACCTCGTCTTGCACATGGCCAGTGTCGACCAGCAGTAAGAAGCGACACACCTTCGCAGCCGCGTACGATCGCAGTACGGTCTCGGCGCGCACACCCATCGACCACCACACAACACTACCGCCATATCTATTGACCGCGGGCGGAAGCGCACGCTCGCACTCTCTTCCTTTTCATTATTCTTATTCAATACAACAACTCGTTTTGGCACCGATATATGTACTTATAGAGTCTGGAGGGCGCCACGGCTCGTTTGTTTGCTAAGAGGGTAGTCGCGCTACTAGTAAAGTAGTGTAAGACGGACGTGGGTTTCTACGTACGTAGGCGTTGGAGCAGCAGCTCGAATCAACCAAGAAGCGACGTGTTCTGCTACCCAAGAGCCTATTGTGTGCAGTGGTTGCGTCTGAGCCACTGGCGCTTCAGGTAGATAGCGTGGCGATCGACGGCATCAACGACTGCCATCGTAGCCGGCGCCACGCGGAATAGCATGCTCGCACTGATGCCGCGATGGTAACGACCAGGCTAAGAGGGTAGTTGAGAACCGCGATAAAGTAGTGTGAGAAGGATGTGGCTTTCTACATACGTAGGCGTTGGAGCAGCATCTACGTGTGGCTTGCAGATCAGGATGGCATATATCTTGCCGCCGTCAGCAGAGCGTGTCGACGTTGGCCGCGAGCTGTCGGCCACGAAGGACGACTAAGAGGGTATGGCGATGAGATGGAGTGCAGCATACGACGGCCGGCGCGAGCAGCCGCACGCAGGCTCGAGGTTGAGACACGATTCGAGCGTTGACGGGATGTACGTACACGTAGAGTGTGGCGGCGACCGGAGCGTGGACGCGCCGTCAGATCGGATGTGGCCGTAGCGCGAACCGTTCTGGACGCGCAAGCGCATGACGTCGCGGCGGTCATGATGCTAGGCATATCGCGCCATCGCTCGCAGGGTCGTCGCAGGTCTTGGGAGCTTGGAGGAGCGCATCTCGGAGGCGATCCCGTGGCCGACGTGCGAGAGAGGCCGTCGAAAAATTGGCCAGGGCTCCACCCAAGAGCCGACTCGGTGGCTCGTCACGCATGAATAGGCTGCGCCATACCTACAGCGACGTCTACGCACAGCTTGCCACGTACCACGCAGTGCGTACCACGTGCCTGGTCTGGCGGCGATGATCGGTTCGAGATCTGCGGCAAGAACACTGGTGATTGGCTCGGAAGCGAGATCCTTGCCGCTCTGATTGGCCACAAGCTAGAGTCTTGTCGCTCTGATTGGCTGAAACGCTTTGGCCTGGTGTTGACGGAAACGAGGGAGACCGACGAGGAGCGCTGCATTGCGACCGAGCGACACCTCATGATGGCGTAGAGAACGCTGATGGAGTCTCCTCGAGCACAACGCAGCAGCGTCAGTGGTGCCCGAGGAGCCTCGGTGTCGTGTTTCTGGCGTCCCGATCGTTACGATTGGCGTTCGCCATTTACAACCATAATTACCATATTTTGGTGCACACACGCCCGCCGCGCCGGCGGATCGGCCATAATGAAGTTTGAAAATGAAATCGCCAAACTTGCCAGAGTGCTAGACCACACTTTGGGGAGTCCAAAATGCTATGTGATGTCGTCGCATGAGCTCTGTAGCGAGAGCAAATGACAGCGGCAAACGACTTTTTGATATAGTGTGCTGATTCGCTATTCTGAAATACTGTACGGGATACAAGGCCTCATCACGCAGCGGTATTGCGCGCACTTTGCCTCGCTCGGCCACATGCAACACGCTCTCTCACATGAACAAATAGAGACGACGTCCTCGGTTTCCGTGATTTCGACGCATTTCCATCCGAAATTGCATGTCGAATTTCCTGAAAACCGACGCTCGGCAGTTCGAGTTTGGTGTGAGTGCCCAAGCAACGACGGCGACCAACACGCTGGTCGCACACCGGGTCGAGACCCATCACCAACTGTGGCAGCCAGTTTTACGGTCCTTGGAGCTTTGGAACCCCGCGATGTCACGTGAAGTAATTGGGCAATTCTGCCACCACCTCGAAACATGGAAAATGGATTTGCGCGTGATTGCGCTACGCGCGGCGTCGGAAACGACATTTATGTCATTCAAGAAGTGTGTGAAGAGGTATACCCGGTTGCTTCGTGGCGCTGGCGCCTCTGTGGGCTGCTACTCGTCGTTGTGCTGCAAGGTGCTCACACTATTGAAGACGAGGTCTTGTGATTGGCTATAAAGAATCAAGAATTGAGCCAATTAAAACATCCATGCCAGATCGAGTTCCAAACAGAGCGCGCGAGAAGCGCAAGCGGACCTCGACGGCCGCGTCGAGGCGCTAAAAAAGTCCAAGCCGACGGCCATCGACCTCATTGCGCCCGACGTGACCGCGCGAAAGCAAATATTTTGGACACATGCCGGAATGACTCTGGCCGCACCTGCATCCTGACGTCGACGGAGTTTTTGGGGTCGCGATGGAAACCTCCTTCGCAAGAAGCATGTGCTCTCAAGCACGGCAAGCTGAGCACGACACTGCATTGCTTCGAGAATATGCAGTTTGAATCGTTCGCTGGTCGACCGAGTACTATAAGTATAGTATTGTACAAGCTCATAGACACGGACTGGGCAGCCTACACGAGCGAAAGCGTATCCAATGCTATCTCCAACGTGACCATGTCGCGCCCGGTCTTGTCATGCCGATGCGTCGCTCGGAGCTGGAAGAGGTGACATGTACTGGACGTGGACGGTCCAATTGTCGGCGGACGTACACGCTTAAAATGGCGTCGCCCCAGCCTTTCTGCAACATCGATCCGCTCGCTCAGCAATGTGCCACGAAAGCGCACTGCATCCATGGGCGCAGCTCGCCGGACAGTGATGCGTACTCAACGAGACTGCGTGCGCTCTAAACGTGTAGTATTGCGTTAATTCTTGGGTGTTGGCATCGCCTTGATGCCAGTGCCCGCGACAAAGCCTTCCTCTACAATGATAGCATAAGCCTCGCTGCGCAGCCTGGTGGTGCCACGTCGTACTCTCGCGCTTGCCCTCGAAGGACCGGGCGCGGCCTGTCTTGTAGCTCTTTTCGTCAAAGCCAAGCTTCTCGAGGTTCTCAGGCTGCATGAGACCCCTAGCGCATTTCAGATAAGCGTCTTGACGACAGGGAGCTGCAGCGCTACTTGTCCATGCGGCACTGAAGGTACTGCTGCGAGAGGTGCTTGCAGTCAATGTGATTGTTGCTCTTCTCGCGGAGGCACGCCAAGTAGACCTGCGTAAGCGTGAGCGAGAGGACATGTTCATGAGGTCTACCTTGATCTGCTCCTTGCATTCGCCGTAATGGTCCAACGGGAATGCGCCCTTCTCCGGCGGCCGGGTCGTCGTCGCAGCGCCACCAAACGCGTTCATCGTTGCGAGCTTCTATGGCACGCGCTCCCAAATTGCATATCCGGATACGCAGCCAATCACCGCCAAGCCGGACTTCCGCGGAACCGACATGATTTTCTATCGGCACGCAATTATACTGCATCTTTGTATAGTCTGGTATGATGGCATTTCGAGCGCTTTACATCCTACAAAAAGTGAGCTAGTTTTATTATGTCGCGTGTTTTTAGATGCACCAATGAATTGATTGCCCCTGCTCCCCGCGCTTGACGGCACCACGGTAGAGCTATCCGACATTCTATACGAGATAGGATAGCTGAGCGCCTGTGCTGCAAGGCAGGCGACCCAGTGGGCATCGTTTGGCTGTGCTTGGCTGCTCGCCGGATAGCTCCGTTGGATCCTACGTGTCAAAATCCGCCAATCGAATCCAACCTCATTTTTCGATCCGAAGCATGGTCGCCTTTCGCCTGCTGATGCTGGCGGCGGTCGTCGCTGGCGCAGCGCCGAGCGCATGTACCTTTGAGAGTAGCTACCCGCGCCGATACGCCGTCCAGCACCTCGACGGTGCCATCCTGGATGTCGACGGCCAGCTCGACGACGCTGGCTGGACCAACGTGCCCTGGTCGGAGCCGTTTGTCGACATTCGCGGCGGCTCGTTTGCGGCGCCGTGGTTTGAGACGCGCATCAAGATGCGGTACGACGACGCTTTCCTCTACATCGGCGCGCACATGGAGGAGACGGAGGTTTGGGCCAACGTCACGACGCGCAACGAGGTGATTTTTTACGACAACGACTTCGAAATCTTTGTCGACGCGACGGGCTCGACGCACAACTACAAGGAATTCGAAATGAACGCGATCAATACGACGTGGAACCTCCTCCTCAACAAGCCGTACCGCGACAACGGCCACGAGAACAGCACACGCGTCGATCCACGCTTTGGCTTTGACCTGCTCCCATTCGGCCTGCGCTCGGGTGTGTACATGAAAGGCTCGCCCAACCACCCGAGTACAAACTTTTCGAAACAAAAACGATTACCGGATGTTGATGTTGAACTAGACCAGCGGCTCAAGTATTGGACGGCCGAGGTCGCGCTGCCCCTTGCCGGTCTTGTGGCCGGGACGACGGCGATTGTGCCACCGACCGATCAAAGTTTTTGGCGCATCAACTTTTCCCGCGTCGAGTACATTGTTCAGATTGTCGACGGCAAGTATGAGAAAATTCCCGGACTCAGCGAAGACAACTGGGTCTGGAGTCCGCAGGGCCAAATTGCCATGCACATGCCCGAGAAGTGGGGCTATATCCAGTTCCAACGCCACTCGGCCGCGTCGCCCGTGCCCATGGACCTTGCATGGCCTGTTCGGTACTTGGCATTCCAAGTCTACTACGCCCAAGCCGCTTATGTTGCAGCGCACGCAGTGTACGCGTCGAGCCTAACAGCGCTCACGCCCTACTTTGGCAGCGGCCATGACGTCCTGGAGTGCATTCACCTCACGCTGCGGGTACGTCTACCAGACATCGAAATGTCTCTTTTCTGGAGGCGCATGCGCAAAATAGGTATCAAGTCAAGGGTACGAAGCTGTTGTCGCGGCCCGCAAGGCGACGACCAGCGTCGCCCGCATCACGCACGAAGGCTACCTTACAGTCACCTAGCTTATCCTATGACGATTTTTAACCCAACACGACGGGCGACTCGATATGATTAAAACAAGGAGCTCTAGGGCACTCGCAATGACAATAATGTTGTCTTCAAACGACTTTGGCGCCAAAAATACCGGTAGGCGAAAAAATACAAACCGGCATCGTTTTGGTCTTGGCAATGCAACGACTGACCTCGGTAACTGCGAGCTGGGCCTCCCACCCGGAGTTGAGTGTCCGCCGGTTAGTAAACCACGGACACTCGACATACCAAGGCTCAACAACGGCTGCACTGTTCGTAAGCTAGCGCCGAAGAGTAAGCGAGCTCTCGTGATTCACTTTTGGATGTGTCTCATAGTAGCACCTGCTCTCAAAGCTCACAGTGTGACCTTAACGTTACAGGCCACATCAAGCACACTCGCAGAGCAAGCGTTTTACATCATGTATATACACTACCGTACTAAGCATAGTAGCTTCCAAGCAACACCAAGCGAGTGCATACTGTACTTTGATATTAATAACATCCATTTGCAGCACGAGCTGCTTTACTGGCACCAAATCGAGAGATAGGTGAGATGGGATGGCCCATCTCGTTTGCGGCTTCGAACCGAGCGCATCATCAACCGTGTGGTTGATTGCCGATCCGCCGACTGGACACATCACGCCATTGGACCTTGCATGCGATCTTCGCTTGGGCACGTCATTTCAAAACTGCCGTCATCTACGACCGATCAATCATGACCACGATCACGCCGACCCAAGCCGTCGCGGTTGCCAGTGCCCTTCTCTACGCCAAGTACTTTGCCGTGTCCATCGTCAGCGCCCACAAAAAGTTTGCGACTGGGAACCGCGCACCCGAAGATGCGGCCGCCAAGCCCGGCAAGCTGCAGTCGTTTGGTCTCGCGACCTCGGCGAACGAGGGCACGAGCCTTCTCTTGGCGTCCGAGAAAGCCGCCGCGATCGAAGACATTCGCTGGCAGCGCATTCTCGCCAACGACGTCGAGAACATTCCGCTCGGGCTGGTGCTGGCGTGGGGTGCGGCGACGGCCGGTGGCAACGCGACGGTCACGGTCACGGCGGTGGCAGTCTTTACGGCCGCGCGCTTCCTCCATACGATCGCCTACGCCAATGGATGGCTCTACCCTCGGATCACCGGCTTTGCCATTGGTGTGCTCAGTCTCTTTACGCTCGCTGGGAACGCCGTCGTCGGTGCCTTTGCGTCCTAAGCCACAATGTGGAGCTGTCGACTAACTACTTGAATAGCAGCCATACATTGACTTTCACGTGTTGGGGCCTCAATGCGCTGTGCAGCGGCAGCGCCACGTCGCATTCGTTTTGAAAGGGCCCGCTAGAATGTATATGTGCACGTCGAATCTCTAGATGGCTTTTCATTGGCTCCCATTTTGTTTTTGGCCAATGAGTTTCCAGTTGAATCTTCGCTTGCCTCCGCCGCGCCTCAAGATCGCCCGATCTTCGATCGAAAACGAATCGCTCATACTTGGCCCCGTGCTAGAAAATGCTTTGGAGAGCACAACATGCTATCTCTTGTCGGCGTTCGAGGCGTACAGCACGAGCTATGGCCGATGCGATTCTATTTTTAATAGTGGCGTATGCCACAAATAAGTATTAAGTTCCACATTCATGTGATGCGAGCGCCGACGCGGGCGCTGGAACACTCGGGGCAAGGGACTCATTCATTGCCCACACATGAGCGGCAGGTTGGGCCTGTGACCTTGACTGTTTATGTAAGCGATTGGTGTCTACTCTGACATGCGTACCAAGCTTACATGTTCGTCAAGGACCGTGGCTTGGTGTTTACCGACTGCACCGACGACAGCATCGATGACCAAATATCGATGAGCGAGACGAGCCAATCAAAAGCCAGTAAAAATAGAATCCACGACCAGCCTCGGAGCCTGTCGAGGATGCGTCATGCCTACCCGATGGCCGCGTCGCCACCCGCTGCACAAGAAATGTCGACCGATCACTTGCTACAGTACGAGCGTTCTCTTCTGTTCCAGGCTGCTCCCAGATTTGGATCCCGCGGGACTTCTCAACGCTCGTCATGCCCACTACGTCGCCTTTCCAAGCCATTGCGATCTGCAGCACGCTGCTCTACGCCAAGTACATTACCGTCGCGCGCATTAGTGCCAAGAAGAAGTTTATCGCTGGGAACCGCGCGCCCGAAGACGAAGGCTTCCACCCCGGGGTGAAGCAATCGTTTGGCCTGTCGTCGTCCGAGGCTCTCTCGCCCAAGGAGGTCGCGGCCAAGATTGAAGACCTGCGTTGGCAGCGCATCCTTGCCAACGACGTCGAGAACATCCCGCTCGGCCTCATCATGGCGTGGGGCGCCGCGACGACCGGCGGCAATGCGAGTGTGACCGTCGCGGCCATCACGACCTTCACGGCCGCACGCTTCCTCCACACGATTGCGTACGCCAACGGGTGGCTCTACCCGCGTGTCGCCGGCTTTGCCGTTGGCGCGCTCAGCATCTTTGTCCTCGCTACCAACTCGATCGCCGGCGCGTTTACGAATGACCATGGCGCGACCAAGTAGGACGTTATTTCCTTTGAATCAACATCATCATGCCAACACATGCATGCGCGTGGGTCGGCGGCGGACGAGGCGAGACGCGTGGGCTTGGACGCACGGCCATCGCCGATAGTGTACTCTGCCGCTGGAGCTGCAGTACTAGTACACTGCACCGCGATAGGCCTAGGGCTCCTGCCCTGCGCTCGATTCGAGCCGCTGGTGAGGCAACTCGTCAAGCACACGCCTTCCGCCAACGTGCTGCGCGAGAGCACAGGCCGTGACGTTGGCGCCAGTTCTCTTCACCGTGGTCGTGCAGCGACGACCTTCAACCTGCCACCTCGCATCCGCCTTTCTGACACAATACAACACTATTCCATGATCGTAAAATCGTAAATAGTGTGCACTGGGGAACTAGGCGACGAAGACAACACGAACAACGAGATGGCCGCCAACCGACCCAAGTTCAAGAGCAGCCTCGCTGCATCGCTCGCCACGGACGGCGACGAGAAGGACCGCGCGCCTATCGGTCGAGGCAAGTCATCGGGCCGCGACCGACCTGCAAAGCAGCCGTCGATAGACGAGCATGATCATGCTGCGCCCAAGACCCATGAGGCGCGGACGAAGAAGCGCATGGTCTACGCACCCAAGAAGGACGTGACGAAGGAGGTAACACCTTCGGAAGCGCCGCCGACCAAGTTTCGATCGAGCTTGATGGCATCCGTTGACAATGTGCAGGAGCCCAAGGCAGTCGCGGTTGCGTCAGAGCCGTCGCCGCCGGCCAAGACGCCCTTCAAGTCGTCACTTGCATCGGCGGCCAGCAATGACGACAGTAGCACGACCAAGACACATCGACACGACGAAAAGACGTATCGCGAAGCCAAGCCGCGCTTCAAGTCGTCGTTGCATGCAACGTTGCAGGAGGGCACCGAGGCCAAGCCGGCGCGCACCGACGGGCCGCGCTCGCAGAGCTTCAAGAAGCGCGATGTATCGATGGAGCGACAGCCACGCGAGCGCCCAGCCGCCCTCGAGCGACAGAGCTCGCAGGCAAGCAGCCACGACGCGAAGAAACGTACTACGCTGTGCGCACGATGCTGGCCATACTAACCTCTTGCGTAGCGTCGTCAATTCTGTCGCGGATCGGCCCAAAACACGCCTCTACAGACGACCCCCGCAGCCTCTCGCGGTCCAGCTCACGCTCCTCCATGGACGATGGGCCTCGACGCGACCGAAGCAATAGCGGTCGACGGGACAGCGACCCCTCGCGGCGCAACAATGAGTCACATGCACCGCCGCCGCCGGCACCTCTCGCACGAAAGACATCGTTCGAGAACCGGGGGCCCGCGCTGCACCGGCAAGCCTCCGCGGGGCCAGCCGTCCAGCGCCAAGCCGTAGCCCCGCCCCCCGAAGTGCGTAAAGGTACATTGCGCCAATCTGTCGCATCGCCGCACCTCCCATCTCTGCAACTAGTGACCTTGACGCGCAACGTGACGGACGAGCAGCCACACTATGCGACGTTGCGGGAGCGGCTGCAGGCCCGCGGCGCCATGTCGGTCGAGAAGCCACGCAGCAGCCTCGCGTCGTTCGACAAGCCGAAGTCGGTGGACAAGCCCCGTTGCCAGTTTGGGACCGAGAAGGAAAAACGCACCAACGAGTACTACGCCAAGCTGCAAAAGGAGACGGCGCCCAAGACGTCGGCGCCGGTCTTCAAGTCGTCGCTCATGCAGAGCATGAAGTCGAGTCTCTCGTCGTCGCTTGCACTCAGCATCGCGCGCGAGCCCACCAAGCCGCTCGAGAAGATCCGCTACTCGTACCTGGAACTGCTGAGGTAGACATTTGCATTGTTGCCAATGAGAGCTCATGCGGTGCAGCTACAAGCGCGAATACCCCAAGCCGGCCGACTTGACAGCCGACATGACGATCATCACGACGCCCGCGTCACCGCGCGCCCTCGCGCGGTCGGCGAAAGGTTCGTTCGCGTCGCGCGACCGTAGCTCGCTACGCCGTGG